GCCTCCCTCCCACCCACCCCTGGTGCAGACAGAGACAGTGCTGGACCTAGGGGGTTGATGGTCCCTAGTTCTCAGCATGTAAAGCAATCGGCCCTTCTTTGATCGTTCCTGGATTTTCCCGTTTGGAATAATTTTTATTGTGTTCATACATCTATTTTCCTCCTCCCGGCAGCCTCTGGAAACCTCTCGTCTACTGCCCGCCTCCATGACTGTCTAATCCCAATATCTCAGAGCCGCGGAGCCACAGACGACCTGTCCTGGTCTCACTTAGCCAGGTGTTTTCAAGGTGTGCCTGTGTCCCGACAGGTGTCAGGGCTTCACCTCTCGCCGTGGTTGAGTAGTATAGTCTGTTGTGCTTGGAAACTAGATTTTGTGTGTCTGTTCATGTGTTGACGGACACGTGCGTTATCCCAATGATGTACAAGTATCTGTCTGAGTCCCGGCTTCCCAGTCTTTGGGGTGAATACTGAGAAGGGGAATTGCTGGGTCCTGCGGTGGTTACGTGATCAAGTAACGACGACTCCTTTTCATTGTGAATTGGGTGGAGGATGGCAGAGCAGAAAATCCGTTTCCATCCAATGGCCCGGGCACACTTGGCTTCATCTCCTTCACCGCTGTCTCTTCCAAGAACCGTCATGCATCCTACTTCCTCCTGTTTCTAATCTTCCTTCTTTCCTAAGCTTTCTGAACTTTGTCCTTGGGGAATGTGACCCTTTGGCTCTGAGTTAGTTTATTGTGCCAGCCTGCCTGATAAACACAAGGGGGGTTAATTGAAGGGCAGAGGGATAAATGGCTCCATGAGCCTCGCCTTTCTTGCTTTGTGATGGTCACACCAGGGTGCAGCTGCCTTAGCAGTTCCCTGCTTTAGTTTGCAAGGCTGACTTCCTGCAAGACATCCCCAAGGAGAAGCCACATGGACCTACCCCGATGCAGCCCTAGGTGCTAGAGCAGCCATGTGGAGACCCCTGCCAGCGCTGAGATGTTTACATGTTCACTGACTCGGTTTTCCTCCTGCAGTCGGCATTGTTGTGTCTATTTTGTGAGATGGAGGAGGACTTTGTGGACTGGTGTTGGACATATGGGTTAATGGGTTAATGTTGGCCTTGTGGGCTTGGGCAGCACTGGGTTGGGATGTTTCTTTGATGTGCACTTAACCTTTATATAAAACTCTCTCTTATACATGAGTTTATGTGGATTTGTTTCTCTATAGTACCCAGACTAATACAGGTTCTCAAATGGCTGATGATTCAAAGGCGTTCATGCCTCCCTAGTGTTACTTATAGGACTGTCTATTGTGTGGACAACATTTGAGGCTTGGGGGTGAGTTCATTTCCAGGCCTGAAGGGTGAGTGACTACGGGCCTTATGCTGCGGGGTTCCACCAGTCTCTATTCGCCAGCCAGCCTGATCTCTTTCTGTGTCTGGAATCAGATGACCCAGCCCTGGCTCATACCATCTGCCCTGTTAGAGATTTAACCAACTGAAAGCACACAGATTTTCAACACAGACTTTACCTGCTAATCATTTTGTCTGTCCTCATTCAGAGGCTCCATGGGCGAGTTGTGGTTAGGGTCCTTTGAATCACTTCTGACTCACAGTCACGTGCTCAACAGAACAAACCACTGCTCAGTCCCGCCCATCCTCACAAGTTCTGCCATGTTCGAGCCCATTGTGGCAGCCACTGTGCCAGTCTGTTTTGTGAGGGTCTTTCTCTTTTATTGATGACTCTGTACTTTTCTAAGCATGATGTCATCCTCATCATTAAGGTAGACTCTATTTTGAGGCCAACTTTGGCATACCAATCACCAATAATTTTCGATGCATCTTGATTGCATGTTTGATCAATTTCAGACTGAAGATGTTGGTAGATTTCTTCAACTTCTGCATCACTAGCTTTAGTGGTTGGTGCATAAATTTGGTTAATAGTTGTATTGACTTGTAT